TGAGTTAAGAATATAAAAGGGTGTGACATAAAGAACATTTGAGTGGAAATAAAGTGATTTTCGTGATTTAAAATTGATTTTTGGGTTGGTGTGTATCGGTACACATTCAATAGGTACCGATACATCAATAGTAAAATCTGGGAAGATGTTCAAAGTGTATCGATACAAGAAGGAGTGTATCAATACCCCGTGAACAGGAAAAACTTTCGAATGTAATTTGTGTATCGATATATAGGTAGTGTATCGATACACTCGTTAAGGAATATATAAATATCCTATAGTGTGTACCGATACACTTCAAAGGGAAAATAGAAATAGGTCGTCAGAGTAAGATTCACAAGAAAAAACGAGATCTTGTTAGTGCCCTTTGAGACCCAGGTGAGTACATGTTTTAAGATTGGGTTATGTAAGGGAATTAAGACTTGCGATAAGTCTAATTCTGATTGTAAGCTATATGGATATTGGAATATAAGCATGTAGTGATATGATGTAGATGTATAGGAATAAATGCATGTGTCTAGATGTTAAGTGCATATATACATATGATCTATGTGAATAAAGGTATGTGATTTATATGAATATATGATAGCATGAGTCAAGGTATGATTAGGATTGTATACTATGTGAATGTTCCTTGCTTACATTACATGTTATGTGATATGAATTTATGTAATAATGATCTATGAAACAATACAAGAATGTTGCCTAAGTTATTTGATAATAAGTCATAAGATTACATGCATATGTAATATAAGTTATAAGATGAGAAAATATGTGTTTATATGTATAAGAGAAGATATAAGAACAAGAAACAAGCCAAGTGATATGTGAATATGAATCATATGAAAACGTGACAAGAGCTACGTGATGACATGTTATGTAAATACAAGAACTTGTGATATGAGATATGTGATAAGAAGATATGAAACTCTAAGTGAGTATTACACGATATATGTGATAAGAAGCCTTGAGCTTATATGTGTATATGATATAAATATGTGAAAATGTGATAATATAATAATAATGCCCATGTTATGTGTATGAGAACTAGGGGTATAGTTGGCATGCCAAGAGTCAAGGGTTCTACGTGGTGCTTCGGGACATATGTGTTCTCTGTGGTCCTTCGGGACATAATGGTCCTTCGAGACATAGTGGTCATACGGGACAAATTCTACGCGCCCCTAGTGGGAATTATGCGAGATATGGTGACAACATATGTGCACAACCTCTATGTACTCACATACATTAAGTTCTCAGAAGTGTGCATGGGCTTTAAAAAGAATAAATAAATTGATATGATTATATGTGTGTTTCTCGTTAAATGGTTTATGTGATATATTACATGTGTAAGTAATAAGTTAGGATCATATGATAATAATGATAACAAATACATATGTGTAATTGTGATATGAGATGCTATGTGTTTGTGTATGATATGATCATAGTAATTATTCATGTATTGAGGTGGTTTAGAGATTATATAATATGTTCATGATAAGTATATGCTCACATGATAGAAAGTAATTAGTGATAATAAAATAAGTAATGATAAGAATGTTATAATGGTTTAAATATGTATGTAAGTAGAATGTGTATTATATTGTATGTACATGCATTTGTTAATTACATATGTATTTACATGTCTCACTAAGTCTATGACTTAGCGTGTAAATGTCTTATGCGTAGGTGTTGATAAGCAAGAGGATAAAGCCTAGTACAAGAAGAACAATATATCTCCACTCAAAGATCAGATCAGAAATCTTTTGTAAAGTATGTTCTGTTATGTAAATTAATATGTTGGCATGTAAACTAAATTATTGAGTATGTATGCTCTAATGGAATTTTGAAAATTTCTATGGTTTTTTATAAAAGTATATGTTTTGAATAGTTAATGTGACACCTCGGATTCGTATCCGGGTCGGATACGGGTTTGGGGTGTTACAGTATTATAATTCGATCCTTAATAACTTAGGCTAAAAGAAAGGTTTAATTCAATTTTTCACTTTGAGTAGTATTTGAACCCAAGGTATGGTATTGATACTTCCCTAGATGTGGTATTGATACCGAGCTTGGGTATCGATACCCAATTTCGATTATGAAATCCTTATTTCAAAATGGTATCGATACTTGCATTATGGTATCGGTACCCTATGTATCGATATTACCCCTTTAGGTATTGATACCCCTTGAATAGCTTATCTAATTTTTGGCTTATGGTATCGATACTGTTCAACCAGTATCGATACCTCTACTCTAAATATCACTCTTTTACCCTTTGAAGTATCGGTACTGAATGAATCAGTACTGATACCCATAACCCAGAAATCACTTTTTATACCCGAAATTTACCAATATCAACCTAAACCTTTCATTCATTCACCCCTTTCATACACTTAAACTCATATACATATACTTAAATCAATTTATATTCATATAACATATCCTTATCTTCAAAATCTCATCCTCTATCTTGAAATCAAGAATTTTACAACTTTTCCAACATGCTCTAATCTCAATTCTAACACTTCATATTCCTTAATCTAACTGATGACAAGTCAAATTTAGTCTCAAACTTTACTTACTAACTCTCTTCCAATATTTCACTTATTAACCTCTTATCTTTAATCATTCCTAACTCCTTCATCTTTTGGTTTTAAGACAACTTAAGCTTTCCTTAAGCTTAAGTATCATCTAAGGAACATAAACCAAACTTAAATTCAATGAATAATCAACTAGCAAGAAAGTTACCTTAACTAATTTGGGGTGCACGGCCGGAAGAAGGAAGAAGGATGAAGAGAACTCTGGATATTTTCTTTCCGTTTTTTTCAAATCTCCGTGTGTATCTTAACTCATACACATTTGTAATTCATTTTCTGGTCAAATAACCATTTTGCCCTTCCAACATCCTTCTTTGCTATTCAATCCTATACAAAATTTCTATATAAGTCCCTAAACTTTTCAATTTATCTACATTAGCCACTAAATTATGAAGTTTTACAATTTGGTCATTAACTCGATGTTTAGGATGTTACAAAGGATCTCACTATTGCATGATCGGTCAAAACTTTAATAATCTAAAGGTACAATGTTTATGAGGTGTTTAGTATCTTTAGCCTGGAGATTTTGTCTCTCAACTCGTAAGAAAGTATTGAGAGCGCCTTGACTGAGCTGAATACAATCCGTAGATTGTGTTGTATTTATTATGACTTCCCTCGAATGTAAAGTCAATGTGTGTTTTGTAAAAATACAACCATTTGTGACCAGATGATTATGAATGAATGTGGTTTTTGATTCTATATAGAAGAGAAAAGTGTATGTAACAACCTAATTCTGTATGGACTTGATGTGTCACATTAGTCTACCGAAACTACCGCTACTATAAAAGTGTTCTCGAAGTATTCATCCATAATATTTAAATCTATCGAGTTTCACAATATTGAAAATATAGTTTACAAATGTGTTCAGACATAATAGTTTACAAAACATATTTCAAAATAAATAATGTTCTACAAACTTAACAGTAGTAAGAGTCCTATGGATACTAGTGCTCGCTACAATACTCAGAACTGTACCATGTAAGCAACTGCTAGAAATACTTACGATGATGGTACTCTTCGAACCCATTAAATCAACTAACATGCAAACAAAAACGTACAAACACTGAACTTCACGAGCCCAATACTGTAACCCTAATACAATGATCATACCAAAACTATCAAAAACATAAGCATGCAAGAATATAAAACAACAACAAATATATGCATGGTCATTTAACAAGGTATGTCATGCTTCTCAACAACAATGTTCATGTTTTCCCTAGTTTACAATTATGGACCTAACCATGAACTATAAACATCGTCATCCAGGTAAATATAGTATGTATATGCATAAATTTATCATCCCTTGATCTCATCTAGCATCGAGTATAGGTTTATAGAGGATCTCGGATCGCATCACTAAGACTATAAATAATATACACGTGTATTAACATTACCACTAAGGTCGCATAAGTATATTATTGAGTGTCTGTATTATTTTCCCATCGCCACTAAGACCGCATCATGAAGTTTTCAAGTCTTTAAATTGTTCAATTGAGTCCTCCTAGGTTTTTACCTAAATTAATTGGGATCAACCACACACCAAACTCGATATTTGAGGTAAATCACAATAAATGCAACACGATCTACGAAATATATTCTCTCAAGTCAAAACATTCTCGAGACCGTCTTGATAATCAAAAGACAAAATAAAATCTCAACACTAGAATGTCACCAAACACCCTCTAAGTCACGACATCGATCACACACTTGAAAGATCTCTCAACAAAATTGATACTTGAATATATGTTTGTACATACACATGTATGTGCACATATATATGTTGCTAGTGCTGCCACTCGTGCCACTGATTGGGTGGCCAATCAAATTTGAAATAGATCCTACCCGTTGAATCGCAATGTTTCCCATGGGGCTCTTCTTGCTTTGTTTCAATTGGTTTGACAAAAAGTGATTTTCTACCAATCTCCTTGGCTCAATATTCAAAATCGTTGTTTAATGTTTATCTTCTTGTGCTGAACTTTTGGATTAATAATCAGATATAGTATAGACCAGCAACACAAGTCAGCTTATTTTGAACTCAACAACCCAATATGTTGGTGCATTATTTCTTGGGTTTAGAAGTTCTCTTACGCATTTCATCAAACAAATGTTGTGCCTCATCTGGATATTCAAGAAGGCAACTCTAAGACACGAGAGCAAGAGTTAATAACATCAGTTAGTTCTAAGACCAAGTGACTGAAATTAAATGGGAATGAAAGCCCCCTTTCAACTAGTACAAAGCATCAAGGTACAAACATGTTTGTTTATTATTACATTTAAATAAAATATCCACTTTCATCAAAATTTTAATGCAAAGTTAGAACAGTCTAAATTGAGTTAATTTTATTCAAGCTTAATTTGATTCCAAGTTTCGGACAGATCTATATGCAGTCCTGATTTATATTTTCATTCTGGTATAGAACTCACCCTAAATAAAAACTTGTAAATTTCTGGAATGACCTACATTTGGCAAAAGGAACACTCGAAAACGAACAATTGAGAGTCCTCACGAACGCTTGTTCAGGCCATGGAAGAAACGGTGCTTTCTCCTCTTAGAATGACTCCCGGAACCCTTCGAGACAACATGGGGTAAAAAATGTAACTGCAATAACACAACATATCTCTGCATAATTAGACCAAAGTACGATCATAATATCTCACACGAAAATTAACAGCAGGAAGAAATCTTTCATGTTTACAACTTTTAGTGGTTCTTGAAACGAATCTGTTCTGATTACAAAATGTTGAGGTAGTTTGTTTCACTATAGTTTTACATGGCACCTACTACTAAACATTGTAGCTCTCCTAATAGGAAATGAGAGACAAATTAGTGTTTATTTTACCATCATTCATTACCGTAGTATTAAATTGGGCCGCAATGTAATGTAACGGCCGCATCGTAACATTTTTCAAGGTTCCCACGACACCGCAAACCGCAACATAAAATCGTAGTTATTTTTACAACCGCAACTACAACCGCAATTTAGTACTATGTTCATTAGTGTATAATTTTAGTGAAGAAGCACACAAGTTGATATATACCATTTAAGTTGATTTAGAGCTCCAGAGTAAGATCATAAGCATGAAACTAGCAAAGGATGACCATCAATAAGAGAATCCATCGTTAGAAAAATGAAGGGGGCGAATGTAAAACCTGAGAGTTATTTCGGACACCAAAATCCTGAAGCGCAGCGCCGTCGTCAAAGAGCTTCTCATTGTGGTGTGCTAGGCAGAAATTGGACCAAACGTGCCTCCTACAACCACAACCAAAGTAAATATAAAAAAGGGCTAATCTTTATAAACGAAACTCTATGGTAATTCTTGATAAGTTGGACTGCAAGATAAATGGTGAACCATGAAATATGTCGATGACCCATCTTTGACTGCTCCAACTCAATAACTTTCTTCTTGATAGCGAGCTTCAAGTCTTTCACCGTGGCCGAATTCATCACCACAACATCTTCAATCCCAAGGAAACACAACCCATATAAGCTAAAAACTTATAATTTCACAAATAGTTTCTTAACAATTCAAGCACATATTAGGTGTTTGTCTAAATGCCTAGGCGATAGTGACAGAGATAGTATTTCAAGTACCGAAGGAGGTTCCGTCTAATTTGAGGATAGAGATCCGCATGGCACTCCCCAGTTCAAGGCTGATGAGAGTATCGACATCGGACAAAGTGGGCTTCTTAGGGACATCGGCGAGAATTGGATCGTCAAGGAGTGCGGACAATGTTGAAAGTAACTTGGCTTTCTTCACGTTATTGCTGTGATATCCCACCACGTTCTCTTCCTCCTTAGACCCCAACTCCATTTCTCTATGGCACTATACCGATATAATCACCGTCACCGGAAATCAATCGGGAAGGTATCTTCCATTAACCGATTGCCAATTTGCTTCATTGGGTTTGTAGATTTTAAGTCGATTACTTCGAATTCAAGGGATGGGCCAACACAAGACTACAAACCGTGGGCTAAAAATATTTGATCTTTATATATAAAAAGCATTGATAAATAAAGGTCCATTGATTGTATTGCTATGTTAGCCCAAAAGAACCCATTGAACGGCTTTGTTATCCTCACTTTTTGTATGACGAACACATCTTTTCAACAGTCGGGTTATCTAATTAGAGTGGTTTATGTCGAAGTAATCTTTCAGAAAGTGGTGAGTTTTTAAATAGTTTTTTACGTGGTTGGAATTATCGTAAACCGTTTTAAGTTAAATATAAACAAATATCTATAAATTTTAATATATAATAACATTAAGATTAAAGCAAATTCGAAAATTAATTATGCGTGAAAAAATTATAAAACTCTCATCACCGTTTAAAATCGATACTTTTAAAAGAAAATTATATTGTCTCGAAAAGAAAAATAAGTTAATGCATGCCTCGTAAAAATATCACTGCAAAAGGAAAAAAATATGTTAGTGAGAACAATAATAATAATAAATATAAATATCGATGAAAATATATGCCTCCTAAAATGACACTAAAAAATACTAATACTACTACTAAAGTACTAATAATTAAAGAAATTAATGTTTAAACAAATAAAAAAATGAAATCAATAATTTTTGAGCTAATAGACTTAATCCGTAAAAAAAATTAGAAGTTAAAATTAATTTAGGCCTGGTGGTGGTGAGGCTGACGAAGCTACTAAGTGGTGGATGGCTCAACAGGTCTTAGGATTGACAGTGTCACGTCAATTTTTTAGTACTTGTGGGAAAAGGGTATTGGTTTGACTCGATCTGTAAAATTGACTGAAATCGATTTGAGTCAAAATTGTTTTTGACCTGCATTGTGGTGATCCGAAACCGACTCGAGACGGAACTGGTGTTGACCTGAACCCGAGTTGGACCTGGAAATTGTGGATCAGAACCCGACCTGAGAATACCTGAACCCAAATTGAACCGAAAATATGATACCCGAACCTGAACTGCATCCGACTGATACGAACCCGAACCCGAGATTGACCTGGTAAATAACTGGTATTACCCGACCTGTTTTCAACCTGACCTGTTTTTAACCTGACATGTTTTCAACCTGACCTATTTTTAACCTAACCTGTAAATGATCTAACTTGTTAATGACATGATCTGATATTTACCTGACTTATATATTATCATGGATGAAATTATAAGATTTTAATAAAATTATGAGTTTTTTAGTTTATGATGTAATTAAAAAATTAATATGATTACTTTTTAAATGTTATAATAAAATATTTATTTTGATAATTAAATTAATAAACAGACCTATTATATAAAATTATTTAATAAATTTAAAAAATTATTTAAAAGTAAATTAGATAAAACATGATTAATAATGCAAAAGAAAATTAATATAGTTTAATTTATATAAATTATATAGTTTAATTTATATAAAGAAAAAATAATATTAATAATGAAATTATTTATTATGTAATATATATTAACGTTTTACATTATTAATATAAATAATTTTGGCAATACATTAGTTTACAAAGGCCAATACATAAGCCCACTCTTTTATTACAAATATATATGCATTAGTGCTAGTCCATTTAAATTAAGGTTTATGGTTTAGTGTTTATGGTTTAAAGTTTAGAATTAGAGTTTAGGATTTAGGGTTTAGGGTTTCTATAAACTATATATTTTATTATTTTATATAGTTTATGCATAGTGTTTCTATAAACTATATAAGTAATTTACTTTATATAGTTTATATATATATATAGTTTATATATACTATACATGGTTTATACATACATATTATATAAAATTATTTAATAAAATTAATAAAATTATTTAAATGTAAATTATATAAAACATGATTAATTAGGTGTTAAATAATTAGTATGTCACATTACATATTATATGGTTCATAAATAGTAGTACATGTCATATTAATTTAAATTGCATAATTTGTATTTTAGTTGCATGTTAGGTTAATTCACATTAATAGCTCATTTATTTTGTTGTTATGAATAAGTAATAATAAAACCCAAAAATAAGTCCATTTGCAATAGTGCTAGTCCATTAACATTAGTTTACATAGGCCCAATGCAAGCTCACTCTTTTATTACAAATATATATGTATTAGTGCTAGTCCATTTATATTAGGGTTTATGATTTAGTGTTTAGTGTTTGTGGTTTAAAGTTTAGGGTTTATGATTTATGATTTATGATTTAGGGTTTCTATAAACTATATATTTTATTACTTTATATAGTTTATGTATAGTGTTTTTATAAACTATATAAGTAATTTATTTTATATAGTTTATATATATATATAGTTTATATATACTATACATGGTTTATACATACATATTATATAAAATTATTTAATAAAATTATTTAAATGTAAATTATATAAAACATGATTAATTATGTGTTAAATAATTAGTATGTCACATTCCATATTATATGGTTCATAAATAGTAGTACATGTCATATTAATTTCATTTGCATAATTAATATTTTAGTTGCATGTTAGGTTAATTCACATTAATGGTCCATTTATTTTGTTGTTATGAATAAGTAAGGGTGGGAATAGGCGAGGCCGGCCTACAGGGGCCTACATAAAGTCTGGTCTGACTTGACCTATTTAATAAAAAGGTCAGGCTCGAGTTTTTTTAAAAGCTTGTTAACTTAAATAGGCCAAGCTCATGCTTATTATAAAGTCTTATAAGCCTGATAGGCCGGCCTATATAGATATATAGATGCTGAGAAATTTTATTAATTTCTTTCTCCATGTGTTCGGTGATGCCAAAAAGCAGGGGATGGACGTTGTTGTCGGGCATGGTGTGACGTGGGAACAGCAAAGTATGGAGATGCTGTCGGGCAGGGTGAAAGGATCAATTCCATACATTAATTAATTAATTAAAAGCTTGTTAATGCCACAATTAATTATCCTTCTTTTAAGAATGATTGTATGGTTGGTGCCTCAAAAACATGGAAAGCATGAGCCAAGGTGTCATTTAACTGCTCCAAAACATGGGACAAGGTAACTACATCTCACGTGGATATGGGGTCCGTATAAGGAATATGACAAAGCTTAACTTACTCTTTCTTTTTCTCTGCAAAAGTAGCAGCAACCAATGTTACATATTCTTTTAACTCATTAATCTTAGATTGTATTTATTATTTAATACTTATTTTTATTCACAAAATAATCGTATTTATTATCAAATCCTTATATAAGCAAGTTAAAATCATTCATGCAGAACAAAATAATCGTATTCATTATTTAATTAACGTTAGATTTAAAATTAAATAGGCTTTTAAACAGGCTACCAGGCCCGACCGAGCCGAAAATAAAAGCCTGTGATAGGCCACAGGCCAAGCTCAGGCCTAAAATATTCAACGTAGGTCAGGCTCAGGCCTCTTAAAGCCTGGCCTGACCTATTCCCACCCCTATGAATAAGTAATAATAAAACCCAAAAATAAGTCAATTTGCAATAGTGTTAGTCCATTAACATTAGTTTACATAGGCCCAATGCAAGTCCACTCTTTTATTACAAATATATATACATTAATGCCAGTTTATTTATATTAGGGTTTATGATTTAGTGTTTAGTGTTTGTGGTTTAAAGTTTAGGGTTTATGGTTTATGGTTTAAAGTTTCTATAAACTATATATTTTACTACTTTATATAGTTTATGTATAGTGTTTCTATAAACTATATAAGTAATTTACTTTATATAGTTTATATATATATATATATAGTTTATATATACTATACATGGTTTATACATACATATTATATAAAATTATTTAATAAAATTAATAAAATTATTTAAATGTAAATTATATAAAACATGATTAATTAGGTGTTAAATAATTAGTATGTCACATTCCATATTATATGGTTCATAAATAGTAGTGCATGTCATATAATTTCATTTACATAATTAATATTTTAGTTGCATGTTAGGTTAATTCACATTAATAGCCCATTTATTTTGTTGTTATGAATATGTAATAATAAAACCCAAAAATAAGTCCATTTGCAATAGTACTAGTCCATTAACATTAACTTAGATAGGCCCAATGCAAGCCCACTCTTTTATTACAAATATATATGCATTAGTGATAGTCCATTTATATTAGGGTTTATGATTTAGTGTTTAATGTTTGTGATTTAAAGTTTATGGTTTATGGTTTATGATTTAGGATTTCTATAAATTATATATTTTATTACTTTATATAGTTTATGTATAGTGTTTCTATAAACTATATAAGTAATTTACTTTATATAGTTTATATATATATATATATATATATATAGTTTATATATACTATACATGGTTTATACATACATATTATATAAAATTATTTAAATGTAAATTATATAAAACATGATTAATTAGGTGTTAAATAATTAGTATGTCACATTGCATATTATATGGTTCATAAATAGTAGTACATGTCATATTAGTGTTTGTTCATTTATATTAGTGTTTATGGTTTAGTGTTTAGTGTTTATGGTTTAAAGTTAGGGTGTATGGTTTATGATTTAGGGTTTAGGGTTTCTATAAACTATATATTTTATTACTTTATATAATTTATGCATATTGTTTCTATAAACTATATAAGTAATTTACTTTATATAATATATATATAAACTATATAAAGTAAATTACTTATATAGTTTATAGAAACACTATGCATATTACATTAATATACATATCATACATGCATTAATAAATTATACATATATGCATACATATTATACATACATGCATGCATTAATAAATTATATATACATATCATACATTCGAAGTTATAGTCAAGATATTAAAAATTATAATCAATAAAATTCAAAATAATAGAATTCAGGCGCAATTGTTTCCCAAATTGTCAAATAAAATTCCCGCGTTTGTTTTTAAAATTCAGAATAATAAAATTCAAAGTTGGTGACAGGGCTACAATTTTTAAAATTTTGCCCAAATTGTCAAATAATGGCGTGATT